GGGGGGGGGGGGGCATGAAAGTATTCACGCGGTATTGATGCTGGCAGAAACTTGGTGAAGAAACCGCGTTGAACAAGTACATATATAAGAACCACCACCTGCGGTCGGCTCCGAATGTCTGGGAATCCTACATTGTGCGTGCCAGTTTTCCAGGGGTGAATTTCGACCTCAACCATTGGTAAACATGAAGACTTGACGCAGTGCAGGAAGCTTGGCATGGGGTCAAGACAAGAAGGGAGGTGTGCATTTAGTAGCACATGCACAACATATGCGCCTCACCTCGTCCAGAGCCTTCCTGCAGCCGGACGTCCTTACAACATTGCCACGTCGGCGCGATTGTGGAGTCCGCGGATCTGAATCCGGGGCTGTGTTTGTCCTGCAGGCGATCATGTCACGACAAATGCAGGTTCCAGACTTGGTGCTACATGAACAAGCCTAGCGCCTGACATCTGAACCATGAATTACAAGAACGTGTGAGGCCTAAACGTGGAGGCTGTGAGAGAGTGAGTTGACTCTCCCCGTTACGGCACATCTTCTGGTACAGTATTAATTCCTCGCTCGACTCAGAGACATGGCGTTTTAGATAATACACACGCTTCGCGGAATACTCAGGTTTTGTGGCCGATTGAACCCGCGGCATTTTTCAATCATACATGGACAATATCTACTGTACTTTTGTACTTGAGCTCTGCTTCATGATTTTATAAAGAGTGGCCTAGAGTCGCTCATTCTACCTCCCATTGAGATGATCATTCAATTCGATCGAAAGAAGAGAGCTAGTATCTTTGTTTCACGAATCCGCTCCAATTGAAGAAGAAGCTCTGGATAGATCACGATGAGACCGGAGGAAAGTGACGGAGCACCGAGGATGGTCATGACTTCTACGAAATATCTGACATTATCCCTCGAGAATACTCATCAAACTATTCAAAGTATTGAAAGCATGGGCGCAACGAAGGAAGCTAGCAAAAGCTGCATTTTGCAAACTACATTACTCACAATCTCTCCGAGAAATTTGCTGCCGGCCCATCGCACTAGGGAGTGCAAGCCGGGGAAAGAACATCATTCCGTCTTCTTGCTTACCATTGCACTTTTGAATCGCTGTGCCTCGTTGTCAGGTGCTGTCAGCCTTTTTGAAGAGCAATGGGTACAGAAACTTGACCGACGAGTCGCATCCCCCGTTTGGCATGGCCGTCCAAACGAGCGATACTCTCCATGTCTGGCTCTCCAAGCACCCTGAAGACCTTGATAGCTTCAACGATTCTATGGTGTTCCCGACGAAGCTGCCAACTGGCCTGTCGAGAAGCCCGTTACGTCAATGCGGTGGAGTAGGTCACCAATGTGCTCAAGTCAGAGACAAGTTTACAAATCTCTGCATGCCAGGACTCCTTATCCTGAAGGACATGTCGTATCTGATTGAGACAGCGTCGCCCACGTCTGGCGTTTGGGACAATGTACGCGACTGTTCGGGGCCTTGAGCACAAGTACAAAGTCAGACTCACAATGCGCCGAAAATGATGCAGCTTTAACTGACCTTGCGCTCTTCTCCCTCCAAAATTGTTCCGTGCCAGGCGCCGACATAATTATCGCTTGGATAATGAGTCTCGCCTTGTTCTTGAGTGCCAGCACCAGCTCGGTGATATGAAAATGCTGCATTTGGTGGACCAGCGGTGCAGGCACCAACGCAGGAAGTATACGTCTGCGTTCTCACAGCTTGTGTGTTGAACGAGTCGTACGGCGTGGCTTGCACTCTCACTTACAGGTCCTCTGGAATCGTCAAAGTTGCGACGACCTACGGCAAGCTCTGGGTGACAAAAGTCCGATGGCAGAGCTTCTTCGCCAGTGCCAGAGCCACATGCTAGTTGCCGTGGCCGGAGAAAACAACCTGCGCTGGTCCTAGAGACGCCCAGTTGTAGCGACTGGTGGTGTACGAGGAGGCTGATTGAGACCTTTGGCTAAGGATTTGCATGTCTACGACTCGGATTCAGCGGTTCCAACAGCAGGTCGTGGGGTTCTGCTATGGCCTCGGGTACAGCATAATGGCCCTTGGAGACTTAAGAGGACGGGGTAAGCTAAACGCCATCTTCTGCAACTGTAGGCGAGTAAACCTTCAGAGTCGTCGGCGCGTCTTGTATTCAAGCTGCGCATGCTCTGATGGCGTTTGCAAGCCGGGTTCATCGAAGAAGGAACTCGTGAGAAGGCATTTTAGAACTGTGCAGTTACAAGATATGTAAATGAGTTGCCCACCGTTCGGCCGACTGGTCAGAGCTACCAAGTTGGTGGACAGATTGTGCTCATTATGTAAGTTCAAGTAGAGCAGAGGATGAGGCACTTAGATGCCGTCAAGTTCTGTCTCATCTTGCACATTTTTTCGTTTTGCAGTTTTCAGGCTTTATAGCTAGAAGAATGTTCGTTTATAAGTTACTAACATACTAATATATGTCATATAGAGGAACGGGTTCGGGCTAGGGGCTACAGTCGATCTGTAAGCTTAGCTCGCCATAAGAGCATGCTCCGTTCCTTCGTAACGACATTGACGCACTCTGCATCATCTCGGTCGAATTGGCGGTTACGTGTATAGCGTTTTGTTAAACGGCAGCAAGAAGTGAGAGAATAAGAGAGGTGGTTGCGACAATTGGATATTGACATGAGTTCAGCACTCGGCAAAAATCGTGTCATCGTTGGAGACGTGGCAACACCGCCCGGTGGTGTTGTTGCGAATACTCTCATGACTTGCCTGGATGTTCCAGTTTGAAAGAGTTAGGTGTCGGCATTTTGTCTCGATTTCTTGTCCCATTAGCCATGTGCCATGAGTTCACAGTCTTCTTTTGTCAGCAACCAACAGAAACATGTATTACCCAAAATATTACGAGTATTCACCCATGGGCCGCTGTTGTTGGACGATTTTTTTCTCCATGAGTCAACAGTCAACCCCAACTCCCGTTGTGACACAGAGGGACGGGACCAGATCTGCAGCAAAAGTTGGAGCGCTCCGGCCGCCGTCACACGAGTACATCGGCATCGATGGCCGTGGAATAGGATACAGCTGGCCGGTTTCGAACTGCTTTCCAGATGACTTGTTCTCCCGGCAGGCCTTCAGAAAGGAGTCCAGGGGGCCGGCCTCCCGGGAGGCGAGTCGCAACACGCGACGCGATACGGACTCGCTCTCAACGACGGGCTCGGCGAGCGTTTTTGGCACGCGGACAAGACTGATGCCAATGGCAGCCAAATCATGGGCTACTCAGGCACCGCCAGTGTTGCCCGCGACATGGTGAAAGTCTCGGACAAGATCGCACAGCTGCGATGTCGTCAGCGAGGACCAGAACCAGACGAGGGGAGCAACGGAGATGTTGCCCGGGTCCAATATCTCGGTTTCTTATATGGGACTGTTGTAGGGCATTGCTTTGCTTCTCTGTTCCCCGAGCGCGTGGGCCGACTGATTCGTGACGGAGTGGCAGATCCCACAGATGATGCCTCGGGGCCGGTACGTTGCCGTCTTTTCCTTATCCATGCAGATTGTCACTTCCGACTCCTCATCTCGACCCTTGAAGCAATTTCCACTGTTGGTGCTTGTTCTTAGCTAGGGCGGGACGACTGCTTTGGCGGACACGGACAAGGTCCGCGATGCCTTCTTCTCCGGCTGCCACCACGCTGGCTCTTCTAGATGTGCCCTGCGCCGGACGAGCCACAAGTCTGGCGAGCAAATAGAGAGTCGCTTCAACAAGTGGCTTCAGCAGCTTGACGATACCCACTTGACGCCCATCGGCCCCAGTGGCGACGTGCGCATCATCACGGGAGACGACGTTCGCGCGTACATGTTCAGCGCCTTGTACGCCCCCTTGGCAACTTTCCAGACCATGGTGTCCGACTTTGATTCCGCCATGACCAGCAATACCACTGGCCTTTTTGAAAACACCACGGCATGAAATGGACGGTCATATGTCCGATGATCCTTCCGGTCCTGTTACAAGTGACGGTGGATATCCCGTCCGCTGTGGTGATGGCGGCGACGTCACTGGCAAGGACGTTGCTTGGTGGCAGATATATAAACAGAAGCTGGCGTCGTGTTCATTCATGTTTGGCAGTTACTGTGCAAGCAACCGATTCGTCTGTTCAGGCTGGAACTTCAAGTTCAACTGGCGCTTCACAGGGCCATTCACGTCTCCAGAATTCAGAAAAGATGCCATCGGGAAGCCCAGTGCCGGCTATCTAGCTGCCCCGAATCTCTATCTCAGTACTAGGATTGATCCTGTTACACGCCTCCGTTCTGCTCAAAACATGAGAAACTTCTATCCTGGCGCTGGCCTGGCCATCCTGGAAGCTGCAGGGCACACCTTTCTAGGAGCTGGGGCTAAGAATAAGTGCATCGACAAGATTATTAAAGACTACTTGGAAACAGGGCGTTTTGCCGCAGAAGAGAAAGCTTGTGAAGCTGAGTGTAGTCCCTGGGATAAGCATTGTGACCTTGGCTATATAATCTAACCGGAGCGGAACCCAACACACCCGCGCCCAACGTTTGTGTTATGCATGAGTGATTCGAGACTGAGACAATGGAAATTGTTTCTCAGAGCCAGAGAAAAACCGTTGCAGGTGCAGCCAACCTTTTTATGTCCTGTTCCTGTGATCAAACCAATCACCATCATCCCTTGTGTTGATACTGAACGCAGATGCATGTGGTTCCCCTGAGCCTCACGACAGTCAGTTTGTAAACTGACGCTCAATACGACTCACTTTCGAATACAGACTAGATGTCCATGCGACACATTTCCATTTGATTGAATTATAAGATACTATATGATACATGCGGTCTTGTCCCCATAATCTCTTTGCAATTACACCGAATTTTCAGCCGTCTACAATTACGCCGCCTTCCAAGAATTACCATCACATGATTTGTCCTCTTGAACAAGCAAATATCTATCCCGCAGCAATCATTCGTAAGTAACCATCTCACCTCCACTCCTATATATTAGTTCAAAGCGTCCCAAACATATTCCTCTCCCATTCGTTCGTGACCTGTTGGAGTCCAACGCCAAACACCGTGTCGAAGGGCCGATTCGACAACTTCGCGTTTGACTGGCTGGGGTGCAACTGCTTGGCGACACTGGGCCGCTTCGCAGCTGTTATCAGTCCAGCCAAATTGCAGATCATCAGCCCACCAAGTGCGAAGGTCAAGCCCAACATGAAGGCGGACAAGTACAGATGTGATGTTCTGGTATCCATCAAAAGTGACTGGTGTAAGAGGGCAAGGGGCATTAGGGAAGCTTGGACAGGCTGGCACGCGCTTTACTTCTGACCATGCAATAGACATTTCATTTGAGGCGGCCTGATTGTAAGTGTAAGCAGAGACTTCGAACTCACACCACTGCTCAGTAGCCTGAGCGGCACATCCCAGATTCGCGCTGTACAGGTTGAAACGGAAGCATGGATTGGGAGAGTTTGGCCCAACACCAATCTCAGCTGTATCACTGCTCCCCGTTGAGGCAGGACCAGTCAGAGCGGGCGGGACAAATTCTACAAGTTGGCCTCCGGATGAGGCCACATACCCTTGAACAGATTGAGGTGACAATGGTGCGACAAGGAATCCTTCTGAGAACCAGAAGTCTCCAGCCGGGTTGAAAAGAGGACCTGGCTTCAATGTATCAAACTGTAGACAATTAGCACTTGAAGTTGAAGAAGGCTCGACTGGATCACTCACATTTACTGTAGTATTGCCGACTTTGCCGCCAGCCGGGCACATTACCGAAGCAGGAGGGAGAGCAGCAACACTGGAGGTTGATGGCGCTGGGGTAGGATCCATAGGAGGAGGAACCAATGTTGCACTCTCAGTCAAAGGCGGAAGACTTGCAGAGGTTGAATTGGCCCAGCCAGCGCCGAAGGAGGCAAACCTGTCTGTGGGTTAGTAAACTCCATTCCGACTAAAGAACTCATTAGGGAATTACATACCTCTTCAATGGCTGAACAGCGCGCTTCACAACAGAACCCTTGGCAGAAACAGTGACGGTAGTGAGGGTAGTCAAGGGAAACTTCATGGTATATGTTGTGGTTGGCTCAGGAATGACATTGACCCAGGTGCTTGTTTGGACAAAGGTTGCAATCGGGCCGGCCTGGGGATTGAACAAAGATGACAAGGCACCATATCCAGCGGGAGAAACGCCGGCCGGCTGCCAGCCATATCCGCCGGGCGTGCCCTGTGGTGCAGGACCAGAAACAGGCAATCCCTTGGTGTCGGCATTTCCAGGACTACTGTAGACAGACAAAGGTATGGCAGTGACGACCGACAGGACAGGGATACCACCTGGGCCAGTAACAATGGTGAAAATGGACGGTTTCGCGCCAACGTCTGTTCCAACAGGCAAACCGCCAAGTTCAGAGCTGACTACTGGTGGGGAAAGTATGGTAGGAGTGGCTGGAGATCCTGTACCGTATTCTTCCAAGGCAGGCGAAACGGCCGAAGCAGCACCTGGGATAGTCACAACGTTTGTGACTCCAGAAGTCAACGCCTGCGGCTGGGGAGTGATAACAATTGTCTGAACAACAGGCGAAGGGACTCCATTCGGTCCAACAACGGTGACGGTGACTGCAGTGGTGATTGGGCTTACAGAAACAGTCTCTGATGGAGTGATCCCTTGTGGGAGATCACTGAAACCCGGAGGGGCAACAGACGGAAACCTAAGTGAGGTGGCGAGGACAGTGGCGCCTTGCAGTTCCGATACCTGTGTCGTCAAGACAATTGTTTCCACGACGGGAGTTGCAACACCATTCGGGCCAAAGACATCAACAGTAATGCAGGTAGTGTAGCCTGAACCAGTTTGAGCGGGGATAGAAACGCCTTGAGGAAGCCCGTTGGTTTGGCCCTCAGGAACGATTGATGGAAGACCAATGCTGGTACCAGTCGGCAACGCATTGCTGTTGGGCATCACAACGGTAGATTCGAGGATAGTAGGAAGGCCATCTGTGCCAAGAACTGTGTACGTCACACAAGTAGTCAGCCCTTGAGATGCCATCTCGACAGAGCCAACCTGGCCCGGAGCGGCAGTAACTTGTCCTGGAACGCCGGTGATGACTCCGGATGGGACTACAGTAGCAACAGGTGTGGCGGCAGGTCCAGGAATGAGAAAGCTAGTTTCGACAACTGTGAGCTTCCCATCGGTCCCAATGACTGTGTAGGATGAGTGAGTGGTGATTGCCCCTGCACCAGGTATCAGAGATCCAGGAATAGCTGTAGCTTGTATGGAGATGCCGTTTGGGAGATTTTGAGGCAATTCGGTAGCCAGAACAGCGGATGCAGGAACCACCAAGGTAGATTCAATCACAGTTGGTCGGCCGTCAGGTCCGAGGACAGTATAGCTAGTGCAACTAGTGATGCCCTGACCGTTTGATGGCGCTTGAGTAGCCCCAGGGGAAACAGAGACACCAGTTGGCAAGGTAGCAGACGCGGCAGTGATAGGAGCGGTTTCGATGACCCATGTGGAATAACGAACAGTAGCGATCCCATCAGCTCCAAGGACAGTAATGGCTGTAGTGCTAGTAGTTCCTGGCCCTGTGTAATCGGGAATAGCGCCGGCGGCGGTGATGGTTGTGACGGGAGTTTGCTGGCCGACAGCGGTAGAAACAGCCTGAGGAGAAATGTTGCCATCCGGTCCAGTGACAGAAGCAGAGGTTGCTGTTGGTGCACCGCTATTGACCTCGTTTGTAGTAACAGTTGATTCAATCACAGTTTCTTTTCCATCAGTGCCAGTAACAGTCCAGCAAGTCACAGCAGGTCCTGATGCAGAAATGGCTTCAGTTGCAGCGGTGCCAAGAGTGATGGTGTGTTCAGAAATGACAGTAATGGGACTTGGGCCGCCATCAGAGCCGGTAACCCACTCAACATTTGTATCTGTGACAACTGTGTACAAGTTTGAGGGATGCACTACAGTGCCTCTGTTGTCACCATCACTACCATTGGGATTGGCAGTCACTTGACCAGTGTTACCTGTCGTGTAGGGCGAGTTGGATGGAACATTCTGTACAGTGCCTTGAGTAGCACTTCCATTGTCTCCAGAATCATTGGTTTCAGCGGGACTTTTGCCCGAAGCTGAAGCAGGGGTGCCATATGTAACAGAGCCGGGAGGAGATGAGCCATCAGAAGGAGGAGATCCACTGGTGACATGGCCAAAGTCTGAGTTTGAGACAGCAACAGAAGTGGGATTGTTTCCGGAATCAGAACCACCACCACTCCAGAGATCTGAAATGGTAACAGTAGTAAAAGCCTGGACAGTTGGTCGGTTTCCATTGGAAGAATCCAATGGAGAAACTTGAATGGTCCGATAACCAGTGTGATCAGGAGTTCCGTCAGTGCCGGTGATGGCTGCAGGGGACTCGTTGCCGTTGGAGACGGGAACAGTAGGATAGACCGTAACAAATACAGTTGTTGTGCCCTGCATCTGACAAGATTTCCCGTTGGGAAAGCCATTGGAGTTTTCACCACTATTGACAAACACGGTGACTGTGCTCTGTGGGGAGTCGACTTGGCCAGCAGAGTTTTCGGTATCACTGCCATCATCTGGGTTTCTGTGTCATTCAGTCAGCCAAGTATCGCAGCCGTAGCATGGTGAACTTGCCCATAGGTTGCTTGAGCGGCAGCTTGATACAGAAGACTGCTGGCCACCACGGCCCCGAAAGTAAGGGAAGCACGCATGGCGGACGGCGGATTGAAGATGCTCAAACAAGATGAAGCAGTGGCCAAACAGATGATTCAAACAAGTGATTTCTGCGGGAATATGAGAATCAAGAACAGGGGTCGGCGGGAACGAGGAGGGTACAAAATGGCGGGTGAAAGAGAAATGGTGGTGAGAGGATAAAAGAATTCAGGTGCCGAGAGAAAAGGGCGGCAGAGTTCAGGAACGGCACAAACGGCAGGCCAGAATCAGGTTTCCAAGCC